ATTGGACACCTTGTCCAATTTTAAAGGACATGTTTTTGCTTTCCCCCCTTTAGGATAATATTAACTATAGTTTTTTGTATATATCCTTCGTTATATTGAGATATAACCCTCTATTTCTAGGTTCTTTAGAGTTTTTCTTTATTATGAATGGATGTTGAATTTTGTCAGAGTTTTTGTATATATGGAGATGATCATGAGTTTTTCCCTTTGATTCTATTTATGTGTTTTATTTCTTAATTTGTACATGTTGAACCATTCCTCCTCTTATTCTAGAATGAAACTAACTAGATCATGATGTATCATCATCTTACTGTGTTGGTGAATTCAGTTTGTAAGTCTTACATTGAGAACATTTTTAATCTATGTTCATAAAGGAAAGTAGTCCATAATTTTCTCTTCTTATTGAGAGTATGCTTATCTGGTTTTGATATCAGGGTACTACTGGCCTCATAGAATGAGTGTAGTAATGTTCCTTCCTTTCTGTCTTACAGCATAGTTTAAGGTGTTAATTATTCTTGAATGTATTCTGAAGTGAATTATCTAGTCCTGGGATTTTTCTCTTTTATTGTAATACTTCAAGTTCATTGCTCATTGTAGATCTGTTTAGATTGTTTATATTATTTTGCTTCAATGGAAGATCATACAAATATAGAGGTTGATTCACTTTTTCAGGATTTTCCAATTTATTGGAATATATTTTCAAAATATTCCATAATGGATGTCTAGATCATATATATGTTGTAATATCCCTTTTCATCTCTAATTTTATTAATTTGGGTTTTCTCCCTTTTTGGTTAGTTGGGCTAAAACTTTATCAATCTTGTTTATCTTTCCTTTTTTTTACTAACCCTTCCTCATACTGCAGTCTTTATATTCTTTCACTTTTTGCTCCTTGATTTAGATAATTAAAATCTAACTTGATCTTTATTATTTTTTCTGTCTACTCATTAGGTTATTTATTTGAGATCTCTCTGGTTTATTTTTAATGCAAGCACTCATAACTTGAAATTTCCTTCTTAGAACGTCATTGCTGTGACCTGAAGTTCCTAGTAATTATGGTTTAATTTTACTTTCATTGTAAAAATTTTAAATTTTCTTTCCCAATTTCAACAATTCACTGATCATTGAGAACTGCAGTGTTCAATTTCCATATTTATATAGTTTCTTTTGCTATTGATTTCTAATTTTAGTCCATTGTGCTTCGAAAAAAATAAAGTTATTTCACTTTTCTGTACCTTTCTAAGACTTCCTTTATAGCCTAAAATGTGTTCTATTTTGGAGAAAGTTCTATGGGTTTCTGAAAAGTGTGTATTCCACAGTATAAAATATTAACAGACATCTATAAATTCTATGGACATGTAAATTCTATAGTTGCCTATTAATATTAATATTTGGTAGATGTCTATTAATTCTTTTGATCTATGGTGAAGTTTAATCTGAAGTTTCTTTGTTAAATTTCCACCTGGATGATGTATCTTTCTAAGATAGAAGAATATTACTGTTATTGTATCTGACCCTATCTGTCCTTTTATTACCAATGGTTGCTTTAATGCGATTAGGTGTACCAGTGTTCAATGCCTATGTTTGCAGTCATTATAACTCCTTAAAGGGTTGCTCCTTTGATTAATATGTAATGACTTAATCTTTTTCTAATTTTGGATCAAAGTCTCTTTTTTCAGATATGCATACAGTGCTGGTTTATTGATCATGAATTACTTACTTCAGTTTGTACTTTATCATGGAAACTATTTATTCATAGATGTTAAAGGAAACTTTGCTGGGAATAGTAGTCTTGATTGGCAGTTATTTTTACTCAGGGCCTGCAATAGATACATTCCTTGTTTTCTGGCTTTTAAGGTTTCTATTGTAATTTGTATTATCAACATTTTAACTATAACATGATGTGGATAATGAAAATGCGTCATCACTAGGGTGAGAATGACAATTATTTTTACTGTGGCAAAAGTTTTTATTGAAGCATAATGGGCTTACTCTTCAAAGGTATTGTTAAGTCCACTTACAGGAGAGAGAGTCAGCCTCAGATTTTGAGAAGTTTACTAAATTTCATTTGACCTCTAGTTCAAGATCTATTATTTCAGGAACTATTTGTTGATTCACCTTAGGCTGGGATGAATCCTTTCACCAATATTTAAGAGTACCCAAAAAAGAAAAGAACCCCCAAACCATCTTGTGGCATTCTATGACCTTTGTAAGCTATATCGTTTGGCTGGAAAGTTCTCTCTCAGAGACCTAGTGATCTCATGCTCCGTTTTTTCATTCCCAATTCATTTCTCCATCACCTGTGGCTACCTGCTACCTACCAACACCGCTTTGAGCTTTTTTATTTCTTGCTTTTCTAGATTATATTTTGTCCATTTTTTAGAGTACATGTCACTTTTGGCTTGTGTTCAGTTTTAATAGGGTCTCTTCTTAGTTGGCAGCCTTCTCTTGGAGTTACAATTTCCACTTCCACCCAGAGGACAGAAAGTGGGTGGCAATAAAAAATATTAAATATAAATCTAGTATTTCAAGCTAGTTTTAAAAAATGAAAGTATTAACTATAAGCAATAAGATTATAAAAGGAAGGAAGTAGAATACTTGTGTGATGAACTAGGAATTCAAAAATTATTAGGCCAAAGGTATTAGTAAATAATAAGATGGGCGATGGGGAAAGGAAACATGAAGAAGAAAGACAGGAAAGAGCAACTTCAAAGAGATGAAACTATAAGTAATAATAGAACAAAATAAAGTACTGAGAAAAACACAAAATAGTACAAAGGAAGGAGGGAGGGAGGGAAGGCATGAGAGAGGGAGGGAAAAATTGCTTGGTGAAGGAATAGGATAGATTCCCATCCCACCTCATCTCAGACTTTTTTTCACTTCATTTCCTACGAAGCCAGATGTTTTTCCTCTCTAAAATCCAAACAAGACTAGAAAGGACTATTTTTTTTTTTTTGTCGGTCGTGGGGCTTGAACTCTGGGCCTGGGTGCTGTCCCTCAGCTCTTCAGCTCAAGGCGAGTGCTCTACCACTTGAGCTACAGCGCCACTTCCAGTTTTCTGGTGGTTTATTGGAGATAGGAGTCTCACGGTCTTTCCTGCCCGGGCTGGCTTTGAACCGCGATCCTCAGATCTCAGCCTCCTGAGTAGCTAGGATTACAGGTGTGAGCCACCAGCGCCCTGCGAAAGGACTATTTTTGAATTGAGCTTAGTACTATCTTTCCTTCTAGATGATAAATTCTTATTAGTTTTTTTCCATATTCAAGCCTGATAATGGGGGGAGTTCAGAAGCTCCCCTCAAACTACTACCACCAACTTAGCCAGGAGACCTAAGGGAGCCAGGGGACATTTTCTCTGGTTTTCTAAGGAAATCAGAAAATAACTAATACTATTTAGGAGAAGAAAGGAAAGGGGAGAGCTTTGTATAATTCCTAAGCAGCAGCTATTGTCCACCAACATTCTCAGGCCCTTTAGAGAAGTACAAAGCAGTCAAACCAAGAAGTCAGGACAGGCTGAACTAGGCATGGGTTTCTGATTAACCCCACGCACACCAGAGTTCAGGCTACAGCTTCCCCAGTGTGTTTGCTGGTGGTTTCCCTTTGCAATGCAGTTCCTATCCAAATAGAATACGTGTGCATAAATCTAAGTCACAACATGGCAACCAATGTCCTGGGCCCACACTGATTCTCCAGTGGAGAGATCTTTGGGGTTGGAGATGTAAGCTTCAGGCTTCTCTGCTCTCTCCAGCCAGAAGGCTTTTCTAAGATTTCCTTCTAATACACCAGTAATCAAGCTAGGAAGGGCAGGGGCTCCTTCTCTAGAATATGCTTGCTCTGCTCCCTTCATCTTTACTTTTGCAGAGTGCCTATCCAGCTCCCTGATGTTTTCCTCTCTTCTTTTGCTTGCAGCTATTGCTGAGAAATGAGGAATTTCCCCTTCCCTACCATTTTGCTTAGTGCTCTATGTTAGGCTCTATTGTTCCTTTTATAAATCCAAAATTCAGTTATTTCTGGATTTCATCTGGCTTCTAACTGCCTTCTATTTACTGTTTCCCTGTCTTGCCTTTCTGCTCCACCCACCACTCCCTGGTGTTCAGTGTTCTGTAGACACAGGAAAATGCTAGCTGTCTTTTATCTACCATCTTCCTAATTGACCATTTTTAAAGACCCTCTTCCTTTCCAATTTATAGGGATTTTGATTTGTCTAGTATAATGCATTTTAAATCTCAGAGGAAAATTTATGTTTATCTCAGGAAAAAAAACCTAAAGCAATGAAAATGTTTTCTCTTCTTTGGGTTCTTTTCTACATTACAATTCCAAAGATCTAAAGAAATGAGAAAATAACTAATGCTATTTCAAGGAAGAAAGAAAATGATAGTTTTGTGTTAATAACTCAATATCAGTTTTACATAGCAGTCTTAATTTCTGATGATATTACAAATGCATTTTTTCTTGTTAAGTCTGAACAAACTCTTTTTGTTGAGATCGTAACATTGGCATAGAATTATTCTTAATTTTATGTTTAAAATAATACCATCAGGATTGCTAATATTAAATTACTTCTCATTGTACTTCTCTCAAGATTTGGGGGGGCTGGGAATGGGGCAAAAGGGGTACCATCATGTGCAATTTTGACTCATCTGGCTGATGCCTTACTATTCTGTAACGATCATGTACTATGGAGGCTTTTAATGTGACTATCCTACTTCATGGAGCATTAAGAATTCATTGAATGAACAAATAGGCTTTGACAAGGGAAAAGGTCATATAGTCACTCATTCAGATCTTTTGTAACTCAGGAAGATTTAAGTCACACCTATATACATTCATTTTGTATGCACAGCACTACAGAGTAAAGGCCATTCTCTAAAGTGAAAGTCTTGCAATGTAGCAATAAATCCAATGTCTGTATGTTGCTCACGTTCATACAGGTACTGTGTGTGTATGGTAGCTTTCGGAGTGCTATACAAACAAGTATCCTGACATCCTTTCTCCTTTTGCAGAGGACCCCTCTCAACAGGAAGCCAATGATCCCCCTAAAGAATATGATCCTGGGCAATTTGCAGGCCTTCTCCATGGATCCTCTCCAGCCTGTGAGTCCCCTGAAAATCCATTCCATCTGTATGGGAAAAGAGAGCAATGTGAAGAAGGACAAGATGAAAGCAGTTCGGCAAGCAGTCCTTTGCCTTTTAAGCAGACTGCAATAGAAAAGAGCTCAGAACCTTTGGTAAAGAAAATTAAACCCAAAGTGGTCAGTAGAACAATTTTTCACAAAAGAAGCAATCCACTAGAGAACCACACCATCGTTGGTACAAGAACAACCAGGAGTGGATCCCGGAGTGGGGACCAGTGGATTGTGAACACAGGGGGATTTGTGGAGAGAGCTTGCACTCTGGGGAGAATAAGGTCATTGCCCAAAGCCCTGATCGACATGCATTTATCCAAAAATGTCTCTAAATCCGATTCTGATCTCATCGCCTACCCTTCAAAGGAGAAAGCATCAAGAGTTAACTGGAGTGAATCTTCAACTGCGGAACACAGTTCTAAAGAGACTTCAGAAAGAACACCATCTTTCACATCTGAGTGGGAAGAAGTAAGGCCAGATATTCTTGCTATTTTTTTTAAAGACGTTGGAGTTGAGGGAGGTATGAGGGAATGATTTTCAGCTGTTTAAGTCTTTTAGAAGCTAAAGAAGAAGAAATTAACAAATATGTATAACTGGAAGGGAAAAGGGAAAAGGTTCTATGGGTAATAAATGATTCTTCTATAGCAAGTATAAAAATAAACAGTTCCACACATGTAGAGAAATCTATTGTCTGCATAGAAACTTATGTCATGCAGAAATAATAACTAGCTATGAGATATAAGATGTTGTTCACATCATGCCCTCCCAGGCATTGGAACTGAGAATTCTAGAGAAATCTTACATTTTGCTCTGTGTCAATTTGATAATTGCTAAACACTATGTTAACTCATCTCCTTTCTTTAAGATATCATATTTTTCAGAACAGCTTCTTGTAGTTTTAATATAAATGGTAAAGCCAGTGGTCCTGACTTTTCTACAAGAAACATATCATATATCATAAATAAATAAAACTTGGTATTTTCCTTTTATATATATCAGAGAAACAAAGAAAAAGTGTAGGGGCCAAGTAGCTCCAACTTAAAAACAATGTCTACTTAAAGATAATCAGAAAGAGTTATTTTTTTTCTTTTTTTCTTTTTTTATTGTGAAAATACTGTACAGAGGGGTTACAATTACATGGGCAAGATAATGAGTACATTTCTTATCAAGCAGAAAGAATTATTTTTAAAGCAAGTGCTTTTGTAAGACTATGAAATAATCATCTTTTGCCCCTAGGGAGAATTACATCATGAAATAATAAAATTCATTGCTTCTTTTCTTGAATTTCTTTAAAGAATGGGCCACAGTCTTTATTGATATTTCATCCTACTTTGTCACATTTTGTCTTTCAAAAGGCTGTGCCAGTTGGATTTGGTTTAAAAGCACATTAGGTCACTATAGTATTCTGAGAACTAGAAATAGATATGGCTCTGATATTGACTGTCTGAATTGAGCTATTTGGGAAAATCACTTGGTATGTCTGGATCTGTTTCAGGTTGAACAAAATGGGACATTTAAGTAATGCTCATTGTCCTTTCTGAAACCTGCTGTCTTACTTAGGTTGCTAATAAGAGGAATAAAGAGATTAAACTCTAGATGGCTATGAATTAGATAGACACATTTAAATTCTAAGCTAATATGTGGATTTAAAAAGATGATCCATTTCTTGTATTTTTTAAGCTCTGTGAATTCATTTGAAATCATTCTTAGAATCCTTTTTTGGAGACAAGACTAATACATTTATATTGCCTTTCAGAAGTTAGTTGTTTTCATGTACATATTCTTGTAATTGGAGGCAACGAGCCAGCTTGTGTCTGGCCAAACAACTTAGTTAAAACTGGATTCTGATCATCATGCCTGCAAATTGAAGTCTGCCACTTTACCTGGGCAAATGAGATTCATGCACCCAGATAGAAGAAGCAGGATTCCAGAGAGCTTCCTTGGTACAGCAATAGCCCAGTCCCTTTCTGAGTTGAAAAACTTCTAGTTCTTAATTTACTTATTTATCTGAGCACAAACTTCATTCCAAGAAATGCGGAGAACATGCAAACCCATTTCTAAAGCTTGAGTTTTATTTTTATTTAATTTTCACTGGGAATTGAACCCAGAGCTTAATATATACTAGATAAGCACTCTGCTACTTGAGCTAGGCTTCTAGACCTTTTGTTTTATTTTGTTTTTGAAATAGAGTCTTTTTACCTTTGCCCAGGCTGGCTTCAGAGTCAGGTAGGATATCTCTGCCTCCTAGGTTTCTGAGATTACAGATATGTACCACCATGCCTAGTTTAAAGAAGCATAATTTATATTTTAAATGCAAATCCAAAAGATATTCATTTCCTTTTTATTCTTTTCCTATTGGTCTATATCTTGTAGTAATGCAATGACCCAAGAACATATGATCCTGAAATGTAAAAGTTATTTTTAAATGTGATACTCAAATGAGTTTAATAATCCACATACATGGCTTTTATTTCTCACAGATTGACAAAATAATGAATTCCATAGATGTTGGCATCAATACTGAACTTGAAGAAATGAATGGAGAGGCCACAAGTAAGGGAACTCTTTTCTATATTATAATGAATGTGCTTCAGAAACAGCCAGAAAAATGATCAAGTTCTTTAGATAATTTGTTTAATCTTAATAATTGTAACTACAAATTATTTCCTTTTACTCTCACATTCAACAACCCTGACCTGAAAACAGTATCAATTAAGTATGCTGATTTAGCAAATAGTGAATTTTCTCCATGTACTATTTTATGATGTCAGTTAACACTAAATGAAGTTTCAAGTTAACGTTGAGTTCACTATGAAGCACTGCAAACTTGTGTTGAATTCGACAACTTACTACACTATGGTGTCTCATTTGGTATAATGTCCCATTTATCCTGCCCGAAGTAATTAACAACTTTTAAGTTGTAAGTAGCATTTGACAAGAACTGTGTGTCACTTGCCTTCTGATATTCCATACTACCTAGCAGAGTAGCTCTCAGAGTTGGTTTTGCTGTCACTAGTTAATATATTGCCGTATATATATATATATACATATATATATATTTTCCTACCATGCCATTGAATAATAGAAGAAGGTAATTTCAAACCTTCTTTACAAAGTTTTTACTTAATACTGGTAGTTCATGTCAGATCAGATAGACATCTAAAAATAACAGTAATACTCATACCAAAAAAATTAACATTTCTAAAAAAGTCAAAGACTTGAACTGTATTTCTACTGATGATTTATAAGTTCTCAAGAATCCATGTTGTTTTGTTTTCTTTTGATTCGTGGTTTTGTGCTAGGCCTTGAGTTTGAACTGAGGGCATAAGCACTGTTCCTGTGTTGTTTTTATTTTTTGTTTTGCTCAAGGCTAGCCCTATACCACTTGAGCCACAGTTCTGCCCTGGTTTTTTTGGTTTAATTGGAGATGAAAGCCTCACAGACTTTCCTGCCTAGACTAGCTTCAAACCATGATTCTCAGATCTCAGCCTCCTGAGTAGCTAGTGAGCCACCAGCCAGCCCTTGGCTAAGAGTTCATGTTTAAATAAGTAGAGACAATTGACATAATAATTGAAAATGTTTTTAAGATAAGATTAAGCTTAGACTTCTTTAGCAAGAAGTCTAAATATATCACAGGATAAATACCTATGGAGCCTGGACTATGATGAGGTGATTGAGGAACTTACCTAAGAAGCAGAATCTAAGGAGGTACAGAACAGCTGTCATCGAAATACAGAGTATTTTGATGCAATACTTTTAAAAGTCACAATTAATGCCAAAAACCCATGATGTTAAAGAAACATCAAAATTGTAATAAAAGTAAGTTACGTCTTCAGTGGCATGACCTTTGTCACTTTTCCTGATTCTCAGATGTGGGTCAAAAAGCACATATTTTGTCAGGGGACCAGCTGAGTCTTTGCGGAGACAGAGCTGGGTAAATGAGGTGCGCTTACAGGATGTTGCCGGCAATGCTAGAGCTCTATAGGCAAGCTTTCTGTCTCTCAGCAGTGATGAAACTTGAATGTGACTTGGAAATCCTGGCATAGGTCTGGGAAGAACATGATGGTCAGCTGAGATGGGAGGATGGGGACACTCTCACTTCCCAACCACAAACGCCCATTCTCCTCTTCCTCTCAACCATCCCCCCCCACCCTCGATATGTTTTCCTATCAAATCCTTACCTGAAGAGGGACTTCCCAAATAAGATCCAAGCATACTGATTTCTTCCTGAGGGACATGAGTAGTGCTTACAGAGATGGGTGTATTACTTTGGAGTTGACATCAGATGTATCCTGATCTCCCATAGCAAGATCTACAACATAATAAGCATTCTATAGAGCACAAGAGAAACTGGAAAGGTTGGGAGTTTCTAAAAAGTGAACACACCCACAGATACACATGCCTGGTAAATATTTTTTGACATTTTCAATCAGCACATTTGAGAAGTTTTACCAAGTCTTACCATCCTTGTAATTTTTGAATGAGGCAAAAACCAAATGAACTACCTTCCCTGTCACTACTGCGAACATTATGGAGGGTTTCTCAGGGTATGGTTTGCAGATCACCCACACTGGTGGCAAAGGAAGACTCCTTCCTGCCCCTGTTCTACTGAATCAGCATTCTTGGTAGAACCTGAAAATTTGCCTTTTAAACAAACATGCCACACTATATAGTATGCAGGAAACTTGGAGGATGATCTTATGGGAGCCAGCATCTAGGTGGCTAAGAGGCATTATTGCAAATCATGTTTGCAATCAAATAAGAATATATGAGTCTAAATGAGACCCTTGTCAAAGTACTTTGGTTATTGCTCTTATCCTAGAAGAATGAAAAATTTGTCTGAGTCCCATGTTTGTTAAATGATAACTTTTTAAAAGGCCAAATATTTTTTGAAATTTAGAAGTTTTTTATTTTATCTTAAGAAAAATATTAATGAAGATTTGAACATAATCCACAGGCTTAATGATACAATATGATATTAGCTCTATGACTGCACATATACTCTATTCTCCCATGCAGAAATGCTAATCAACACTGAGGACTTTTCCAGGAACCAAAGAACCATCCTAGTAAAATATATTGCTACATAGTTTTTTTCAGATATGTTAATAAATAATTTCAGGAAGGTGGTAGGATTTGCAAATTTTTTTATTAATATGAAGGTGAAAATTTATTTCCTTAATAAACTATATGATTCAAAGATAGGATAGTTGTCCAGTGATATAATAAGTGCCTCAATGTTCAAGCTGAGACCTAGCACTGCTTCTCTTTCAGAATGGTGACCTGAGCACTGAAAACACAGTTAGACTCAAGTAACATTGTACATTATTCTAATGTTCTAAAATTCCTCAAGCACGGTACCAAAGAACCATAAACATGTCATAAACATTATGAAAAAGAAAGAGCAAATGTCAAAAATGCTACTCAGGCAAAGCTGCTCTTGAAGAGTATTATCCTGATTAACAAATCTTTACTTGTGTCTTTCTGCCTTTCCTATTGCCATTCATCCCCTTTCTTTATTTACCAGTTTTCTACAATGGAAAAGAAAATGAAATCAGCGATTCAGGCCGCAAAGAATCATTACTATTGACAAAGGCTGGCTCTGTCTGTGACTTAGCTTTTAGCTCTTAATTACAGACTAATTATATACTATATAATAACATGTAACATTCCAATTGGTCTTTAGGCCAATTGTGAATCACATCTTTACTGGTCTTCAGACTTTTCCATTCAAGGCTAGGTTTAACTAGAGGGATGATAAACATGAATGAAGATGTCACCACTGTACAAATAGCATTGTGGTACCGGATGGAGAATCACATGGTGAAATCAAGAGACAGACATGAATTCAAACTACAAATCTATTTGCTAACTGTTTGATCTTAGCTAACTTAGTTTTCCTCACAACAGAAATGGAGATAGTAAGAGACATGCACAACGGAATACAGAGTTTCACCCATGTATTTATACACTAAATTTTAGCCCTCACTTTGTCCTACCATGAGGAAGACTGTGTTTAATACTGTACCCATACAAAGACAAATGCCCTTTAAGAAGGTTATGATGCGAAGGTATTGTGACATGCTATAATCTCAGCCCTTAGGAGGCTGAGGCAGGAAGATTCCAAGTTTGAGCCCGGTTTGAGCTACATCACAAGTTTCAGGCCAGCCTGAAGTACATAGTAAGACCCTATCTCAAAAGGGAGTGAGGGGCTAGAGGCAGGCTCAAGTGGTAGAGTGTCTGCCTAGCAAGCATGAGGCCCTGAGTTCAAACCCCCGTACCATGGGAAAGGAAGGGAACAGAAGGGAAGGAGGAGCTTCTATTTATTCTCACAGGCTTAATATTAAATCTGGTATATTTCCTAAAATTGTCATTATATCAACTGGCATATGCTTGTTACCAAACCACCAGATAGTTAATACTAGAAAAAGTATTACTGTAAGAACTACAAGTGAAGTATGCCCTGAAAAGATTTGATATGAGTCAAGTGGCCTAAATTATGTTTTAAGAAGTCTGAGTAAATCTTTTTTGCTTGAAATGGGGAAGAAATGTTTAATGAAATTAATAGGTGGTAAATTTATAATGAGGGAGGGGAAATAATATATTATTTAGTATGTGTTTTCAGTCTCTAAAGTCTAACTTTGGATGCTCACCAAGTTCAGTGCTATACATGGGTTTAATAATATTCTGACATTATGAGCATTTATAATATTTATTCCTTAAGATCTCAGAGGATGATAGAATAAAATGATGAACAATGGAGATGCATGAGGAATTAGCATTAAATTTTCCATGTTCTCATCCATTTTATTTCAGCATTTTTATTTGCCCTTCCCCAACCCATACATTTCCAATGCCAGGTATTTATTTATTAAACAATATTTATTGGACTAGAAGGAGATTTGGAGCTTTTATCTTCTCTCCTATAAATATGATTCAGCTCAGGGTCTGAGCAATCTCAGATAACTAGTTACATTTATTGAAACCAGTTTCCAATTTAAAAAAAATCCCCAGCAGTTATGTAGTTTGAAACCTATCCAGTAATCTTAACTAAGATATAAATACAAGTAAATGAAATTTTCTAAATTTATCCCAGGTCAGTCTTTTCAGTTCTTGGAACATATTAACACATGATTTTTCACAAACAACATTTCTGGTTTCCAACTTGAAGTCATATTCAAATGCCAAAGAAATGAACATTAGCACTAGGGTGTTATGATATTGACTTCTTCATGTTAGGCAGAATACCACATTCTCTGGTGATGCTGGATATGTGATGTGATACTATATAGGGAATCATGGTGCACACCACAGTTTGTATTTACAGAATTCTAGCAGGGATCAGGTTTTGAAATTAAATTTAGCTGGCTTCAAATCCAAGGGTTGCAATTCCCTGGCTTTGTCACCTCTTTGATGTCAACTTCGTCATCTGTAAATTCAGATTTTCAATAACCACCTCCTAAGGCTACTGCAAGATTAAATTATGTTGTACTACTATAGTGTGATCAATAAGTATAAATTCTGTTTATTTCTTATCCAACACACGCATGACT